TCAAACTTCAAGATAGTAGGTGGTCACAGCAGTTGGTGGGTGCTGTCTAAATCTAAGACTTCAAAATGGTAGATGGTGTTTGTTGATGCTTTACAAATGTATCAGTTCAAAATGGTACTAACTGTTACAAATATTTAGATGGTTTTAACAGTGACAAACTCAATTCAACCTCTACTGAATTAACCCTACCAACACGTGAACACCCTATGAACTACTATTTGGTATCAGATTGTAGATCGTAATTAAAATTTTATTATTATACATTATTTAATTTTTAAATTTAAATATTAAAAAAACACACCTATATATTGATTTTTGTGTGTCACGTATGTTGAACGCAGCATTGGTTCGAATTAGATGTTTTTGATGTCTAAATACAAAGTCTATAGTTTCTTTTACAAATTAGGAACTCAAATTACCGATATTGACAAGTTAGAATATAAAATAAGAACCTTCTATCTTTTCTATTTGCTGAGATATCACTACATTTACTGAATCAAACACAAGTGTCCCGCCCACATCTTTCCATTCTTGGAAGCACTTCTGCCTATGACGTGTGAATTACCAATAGAAAGCTCAGAATGTCCCCCTAGTGGCTTTCTCAGCCAGTTTGAAGTATTCGGGCAGCAAACTCTTTTTTTTCATTAAGTTATATATTTAACACTCTCACCATAGCTGGTGAGAGTGTCATGACCTTTTCAAAGTTACATTCAAAATTTAGTTCAAATTTTTTATTATCAATGTTGATAAACCTAGCATTAAAACAGTTTATAATTCAAAGATCTATATTATCTAAGTTTTGACTTCTTAATTTGAAAAGGAAATATGTAAATAAATTCTTAATCTTAACTTCTTTATTTCATGTGATATGTCTCCCTTCTGATTCTCTATTTTTCTAGGTTTTCCCCCATTTCCCTCTAATGCTTTTAGAGAGGCTGACCAATCATATGCTCAAACTAAAGATATTGAAAGGCCAAAATATAAAATTTAAAGTTCCCAACTTTTCAAATTACTGAGATATAAATATATTTGTAACACCATTGAGTCTCCTTCCATCTTGTTGTAGCTTTTAACAAACTTATCGGTAAGACATATTCTTCTTTTATAGACATGTTTATAACAATAGAGAGAGAGAATTTGTTTTCCTATATGGATCTTCCTGTCTATTCCTTCTTATCTAACATTTGTAGACAGTTTGCTTAAGATGGTTTATATGTGATTTCTATTGCTGAGCTCCAAATAGCTAAAAGAATTTTTTAGCCTATTTGTTTCTTAGTAAGAAAGCCATTTAGATTATAGTGATTTTTGGGCTTTCTGTTTTAGTGCCTGATACATGTTTTATGTTTTAAAATGTATATGGGAGAGTTCCAAGAATTTTTATTTGAAGAACTAACTTAGGAAAAAAGTGAGGCCTAGCTCAGTTATGGTTTGCACTTGCAAAGATCATGTGGTTCATGTACTTGTGGTATTTACAACCTGTGGCTAATTACCTCATGCTATGTTTATTGTTTATGATGGGAAGATTAGTGCTCAAAGAGGTACTAAGTACAACAATAAACCACAAATTTACAGAAAATAGATGTGGAAAAGTTAACAATTGAAATTTTGAAGATAGTTGCATGAAACAAGTGAAATTATGCATCAAAAGAGAAGAAAAACGCTATAGTTAATTTTATTTCATATTTTAAAATTTTTTATTTCACTCTACATTGATCATGATTGATAATTTTGCTACAGTTTTACTGTTAAGGTAGACAAAATACTAAATAAGATATAAAAGTTAAACGAAGAAACTTTTGATATTCATTTAACAGCTTTGATAGATTATTCAAATTAAATATGAAAATTTTAAGATGAAAAAGAATTTGTTCTTAACATGAAAATCACCTTGCACTCAGACTAGTCAAACTGACTCCATAAATTCACTGAGAAATCTGTAAATAAAATACTTCATTAGAAAATCTTATCTTTTGTGAATAACAGACTTGTAATGTTTACTGGAAGATTGCCAAATTTTATGAAGATACATTTAGTAAATTCAGAATTATAGTGAACATTACTATGTATAGCTTACCAGATGCAGTGTTGGTCCATGGCACTGATGCCATGCATACAAATTTAAAATGATCATAGGATGTACTGTAGCTTAATTCTCTCAAAAATAAAATTTTGGTTCCTGCTTGAGATAGGAAGTCATATCAGGATTTAAGTCACACATGGTAAGATTCCATTCTACACTCATCCAAATGTAGACTTGTCCCAAAATATATAATCAGCAAGATTTCTACTTTCATGACTTATTGAGTGGCTGAATGTTCATTTCCCCCCTTTCACTCTTTTTATTACTGGCTATAGGTGTGTTGTCATGAATATGTATGATTTTTTGTACAGTGGACTCATTCCTGTAACTAATTTTATTAATTGCTTTTCTTCACAGAGGATTGTTTTTGTTTTTTATTTGTGGGGTAGTTGTTTTCGTGTGAGGAATACCTTATTATCATGTTCTACCATCATCTGATGGCCCAACATGGTCAGGTGGTTAGGGCGTTCGACTTGCAATCTGAGAATTGTGGGTTCGAATCCCCATCCCATCAAACATGCTTGCCTTTTCAGCCATGGGGGCATTATAATGTGATGGTCAATCCCACTATTTGTTGGTATAAGAGTAGCCCGAGAGTTGGCAGTGGGTGGTGATGACTATTGCCTTCCCTCCAGTCTTAAACTGCTAAATTAGGGGCAGCTAGTGTAGATAGCCCTTGTGTAGCTTTGTGCGAAATTCAAAAACAAAATAAAACCCTCATCTGGTTAAAGATTTGCTAATTCATTCCAAATCTCTATCACTGTAATATTCTTTCTTTTTGTCTACTCCCACCTTCATAGCAAGTACTGCATTATCAATGGCCATAATGGGAAATTTAGTATTTTTTTCAAAATTTACATTTTAATTTCAGAATGAAACATCTAAGTATACATATTCTTTTATGTATTACAGACATGGGTTTTATTTGACATACTGACTAAAGCTAGAGATTTAGGGAGAAAGTATTGGTCAGCTACTATAACAGCATTGCTGTTGGTTGCTATTAATATTTATACAAGTGTACCATCTGATTACATGTAGTATCAACTTCATACAATTCTATCAGAGAAGAGAGATTTAATAAGAAGCCTAAGCTTCTTAGATCTTCTGTTAATGTGAACAGTTGTTCTCTATTGTTTTAATACTGTTCAGAAAGTTTTAGATTTTGTTATATGTATATATAATCTCTGCAATTTATGCTGTGAAGGAAAGGGAATGATACAAGCAGCTGTGATATCCCTTGCAAGACATGTACCATCTGGCCAGCATGTGGCAGTGAAGAGAATCAACTTAGAAAAGTGCAATCATGATTTGACTTACATGCAGGTGGGGTTTATTACTAAATGATTATAGTTTTTAAATTTGCATTGTATTTTAGAAATGGACAAAGGGTTTCAAACTAGTGTGTGAAATGTAAAAATTGCATATGCTTAGATTCTCAATCACCACCAGATTTTTCTTTAAATAAACAAGGTACAAAATAGCTACAAATGGATATATAAAAATAGATAAAACATATATCAACACTTCACTACTGTTAACTTGGTTCATCAGGATGATGATGTGGGGTTAATACTGGCAGAAAACTGACATATCTTAACTATTCTTTTGCTATTTTGTATCTTATTTTTTACCAAACTTTATGGGATAATCACAGAATTTCAAGTTTTTAGGTTTTTTTTTTCTATGTGTATCTTAGAATTTCTCTAGTTACTACTACACATAAAAAAATTGAATATTTCAGTAGGAAGAAAATGACTATTGTTTGATTTTTCACAAAGTTTATTTATTTAGTGTAAAATTATTTTGTAATAAAAAATC